CTACCGTTAAAAGTGTTGAAATGCTACTTTGGAACCTTTTGCATAATTTACATTGTTGTACATAAAAATGGTATAATCTAGTAATAATAAATAATCCAAGAATCTCCATATAATTTATTCATAATAACATTTTACAAAATAGTAATCAGTTTGTTCAGTGAATAATAATAAAAAAAAACATCCACGAGATACTACGCATCTCATACAAGATACATAACGCCTCCATTTTAATTTGATGCATCTGTTACATAAACGAGATCAATCCCTGAAAAAAAATCACTGGATGCTTTTTTTCACATAGTGTGAACATTCCTAAATCCAATAGACATAAGTTATTTGAGTTTGAAAGACTCTCACCAACTGAATAAACAAAACGCAGATAATGTACATGTGAAAACATGCGAACGTTAGAGTTTTATATTTTAAAATCGCTTTATAAATATGTTCTACTTGCGCTAGAGCTTCAAATAGTATGAAACTATGATTTATAACAAAAATGCAAAAACATTTTGGTTGAGACACGAGTGCCCACGAACAATCGTTAACAAACTGCGCAAGAAACGTCATTAATGATTGGGTGGCATTTGAGGACGGACTATGTTGCATATTGAAACTCGTATAGCTATCGTATTATTCGATGTGCTAATTCATAGGTCCTCATTACAGGAGATTATCTGCATGCATCCACGGTTACCAGGACTAACCTCTATAATCTGTGCAATTTTCGCAATCGCAGTACTGTCTACCGCGCCCACAAACTCCTCGGTCACGATTGCAGCAGTGACGATTGGGATGCAATGGGTTACATTGGCCTGGATCGCCACTTGGTAGGAGATATTCTTCTCCACATCTTTGGTCTCTTCTCCATGATCCTACAAAGTGTTTTAAAATATGTGTATATTAGAAAACCAGGAACTGATGTTTGACTATGCAAGGGAATAGAGTTAAACATATACATTCAAACACGTAGTTAACGCCAATTTAATTCTGATATGAAAACGTTAGCGTGTATTCTAACATATTTATATTGAACTGAATGCTGTATCAAATGATCAAATATTGGGTTTATTTCTTGACACTTAATAACATGTGTCCGATTGTATTGTCATTTCCTTGTTATCATCACCTCGTGCCCAATCGGAATATTGGGATAGGAATAAACGTAAACGTAACAATTATAATACATGTGTGGTAATAATGCATGAACATGAATATTCACGTACTTGAACACGTTCTATTATTGTCATCTAAAATAAAACCTGGTCTACAGTCACAGGCATAAGTTCCATCGTAATTAACACAGATGTGTTCACATTCCCCATTTTCTTCATCACATTCATTCACATCTATTACAAGTAAACATGTGGATAACAAGTTAAATAATAGACATATGTAATAAATGCAATATTTTGAAAAACTATCACAATTCGCGAAAGTGTCTTTAATAATCTAAAAAAATAGAAATACAAAATGTCTGCAATTAGTCATTTGAAATTTAGCACTATATATTACCCTGGAAAATCCGTGGAAGAGTATAGCATTATTAAAAAGTTAGCAAATATAAACAAGTATTTGAACAAAGTTTCAGTTGAATCGATTGGTGCATGTCTCGCCTCAACTTGGTATAGGTAATATGCTTGTTAATTTATACATATAACTATCTATCTTTCAAAATAACAAGCATTCACATACGAGTCACATAATGTTTACTTTGGTTTCAAACTCACCATCGCATGAGCGATCATCCTCGTTTTCGGTATAACCATCATTACAGTCGCACTCGTAAGAACCATATGTGTTTACACATATTTGCTCACAGTCATCAGAGCCCTCATCGCATTCGTTTGTGTCTGAGAAAGGATAAATGAACTATAATTACAATTCGAGCGCTAAGTTCGACACACAGCGCGTGCGCGTATTTCCCATTAACAACGCATTTTACAAGCGCTGCATACGTCGCTATAGGTCCCACATCGAATACGACGCGGCGCGACGACTGCAACGCTTACAGACTCTAACTAGCGGCGTATGCAATACATGTATACGACACTGCATTCATATATACGATAGATTTCTCACCGTTACATGTATGTCCGTCTTCATTTAATTCGAATCCCTCGTGGCAACCACAGTCATAGGAACCTTCTGTATTGCTGCACGTCGCCTCGCATTCGTCAATCTCTTCATCACATTCATCTACATCTGGATAAATTGAAAAAAATAAATATTAATTCAAAATTCAGAATTGATTATATTCGCCGACCAATTGCTGAGAAGTCACTTGTTTACGGCACTTTCCACCATTACAATTTGGATAGGCGACAATACTAAGCGTTTTTGTCTGGTATTACAAATACAAAAATTTCGTCCAGTCAAGCGATTATCGGTTGCCTAGTCACTAGTTATCCAACAAATATTTATGACGTCAGTGAAATTTCGCACATCCGTTCAAAGTATGGACGATGGTTGAAATCAAAGACGTCGCCAAATTGCAGGTCATATCACAAACGAATTTTAAACCGTATTTTGCCTCAATGGCGCTTACCATCACACGAATGATCGTCTTCACTCAGTTCATATCCATCATTACAACCACAATTATATGATCCATACGTATTGTTGCAGAGATGTTCACATCCAGCATTGTCGTCCAGGCACTCATTTTCATCTTTAACAAATCAGGTAAATTTTTCAAATCATTCAAAATGCATATTATTATCGTAATTAATATCATTGTCAGTTTATCATTTTATTAATATTAATTTAATAATAAATCGTATGATATGGCACATATATTTTTGTCCCGAAACATAATGGTGATCAACCTTGATGTGACCCCAACTATAAAATGAACTATTTAGAGTTCCTTACCGACACAGGAATGATGGTCTTCTCCTAAAATGAATCCATCTTCACAAACACAATAATACGATCCTATGGTATTCACACATTCATATTCACAGCCACCATTCTCCTCATCGCATTCGTTTATATCTTGAAATAAAGGAAACCAGGCAATTGTTACCAAGACATCAGATTCGGTGTAAAGCTATATTTTCTATATTACCAAGTGTAAATCGAACTACTTTATTAAGGACAGCAAATACATACATACATATATAT